TATCCGAGATGCCGGGCTATCGGAAGGGGAGGCTATGAGGGGTATGGTATGGAGTGGGGGGAATGCGCCCCTCGGCGCTAGGGGACCAATGTGGCAGTACCCCAGCTGCTCTGCCCCAGACTTCCCCAAGTCAGCCGCTGCTGAAACTGACCAGCAGTTGACTTGGGGAAGCTGAGGGCAAAGCAGCACCAATTGTCCAGCTGCCCAGAGCACTTCCGGGTTCCAGATGGTGCCGGACCATTGGATGCAGGACTACTGGAGTTTTACTGTATGTAGCACCAGTGTGCTAAGAAAACCTTTACAACCACCAGATCCTACAGTTCATCTCGTTTAGGCCCATTACTGTGGTATTTTAGCTCAGGTAATTCAATGCTATTTCCTTGGGAATGTGGAGTAAAACGAGCATTACAAACACGGGGATCACAGAATTTCTACTTTAATAAAAAATCCTAAGCTCCAGATACAGAAACTTCTACTTGAATCTAAAGCAAGTTGACCAAAATGCTGCTTTCTAGTTGTATATCTACACTCACATTTCAGAATAACCAAGGAGCCCAAGTACTTAGATGTTAACATCACTTTTGAAAACGGATCAAGGCATTTCTGAAAACATTATTTTTAGGGGAAAGGATCAACTAGGTTGCTAGCACGACAAAAAAAAATTAATTCTGATGCAGTGCAGTAGCATGGACTCTTAACTAGGGATATAAACCCCCATTTAATTAGTTAACCAGTTAACCATTACGTTTAACCAGTTAACCATTACGTTTAACCAGTTAACTGATTAAATGGGGTGGGCATCCTCATGGGTGGCGAGGAGGGGTGAAGAGGAGAGGACACAGACATGCTGGGCAGAAGCAGCAGCGGGAGAGAGGGGAGGAGGGAGGGAACAGGGCTGTGGCAGCTCTCCCCCACCCACCCCGCTGCTGCTTCTGCCCCGTGCAATCCTGCAGACTCTCAGCCTGTGAGCCTGTGTGGACTGGGAGTCACCAAGCCCTCTGACACCGCCCACCCTGGAGGTTGACAACTCCCAGTTGGCACAGGTTGGGAGCCAGAAACCTTGTGGAGTTGCTCCCAGATAAAAGTAATCTGTTACCCAGTAAGCATCACCCATAGACATCCCTAACTTAACCTACAGAGGAATGAAAAACTATTCATAAGGGAATGGAGGCAGGAGGAGGAGTACTAACAAAAAAAGAGAAATATAAAGTTATATGAAAACCCAAAGCAAATTACAAAAATTATATTAAAACAAATTTACATACAGGCCTTCTCTGGAGTTCTGCAAGGTTAACATTTACTGATCCAGCTAACGCTCTATAAACTTGTTAGCTTTCCTTAATCAACTCCAGCATTCCCATTTCAGCAGGGGGCATGCTCAGATAAGAGCTTGCTTTAGTTCCTGTGTGTCTTGCTCATAAAAGCTTGAAGAGAATGCTAACTCTATTTATGCTCACGCCCACTGGAAACCTTCTCTCAGACATAATTGCTTTCAAATAAACTGGGAGTGTGAAGACCTAAAACACACTGCTTTGATATACAGTAAATACATTCTTTCATCAGGATATTTTCCTTGCTGGTTACTCCTCTAGAAGAAACTGTGTCACAGCTAAAACGCAAAAATTGGCAAACACAAGATTTCCTTGAAAAGGATATGATACATTGAGGGGGTGGTGAATAGGTAGAGGTGGGAATGAAGGCGCCCTGCAGCAATTTTGGGGGGGGGGGGGGGGGGGGGAAGCACAATAGATAAAACCTAATTCTCATGGACATCCAGCCCAGAGCAAAGTAGAAATAAGTTATATTCAAATCTATTTTAGGCCCATTTAAACAATGATGTAAAGCAGACAAGGTAAATGAAAATCAGGTTCAGTCAAACAATTTTATTCTTCTATCATATTCTAGTTTAGAGCATAAGTCTTGTATCTTTTGGAGGGATATCAGTAGTTCTCACACTGAAAGACACACACGTGTGTATGCGTCTAAAAGGTATTTATGCTGTAAACAGAAGTAATATTAAGGAGGTTTGCCTATACACGGATTTCTCTTTATGTGAGGACAAGATTTATTTAACTATTCAAAGCAGACAGGGGGTACCTTTGTCCTCCTCTCCCAAGATATAAAAAATTTCCTTGGCATGCTCTGATAACATAGAAATATGTATGATCGATAGTATTATTTCCACTTAGGACAGGTAACTTCAGAAGTAGCCCTGACTTGTTTTAAAATAGTTTTTGCTCTGTCTTAACTATTTAGCCATTTTTAGAGCTATTCCTAGTGAAGGACTAGTAGCCAGATATCGGAGAGAATACATTTTAAGCCTTATTAGGAGCTAATTTCATATTGGAGAAGAATGGTGGCAGGGAAAAAATGTGAAGCCATGCTTATGAATGAAAACGTGGCAGATCTAATTCCATGGCCTTATAGTTTGACAATTCTCCTTATCCCACTCTAAAGGAAAAAGCAAACCCAAACAGTCAAACATTAGTCTGATCCTGTGTAACTTCTATTGTGAACAAGGACTGCAAGACTGAGCACTAAAAAAGCAGAAGGCAGGCCTGTGGTCAAGAAAAGGAAATGGAGATTAAACAATCTGTTCTAGGGTCAAAGGTTACTTGTAGATCAGTTACCACTAAGGGCTAAAAAAATCTGCTCAATACCATCTACACTCTACTTCAAAATCACTTCATCGTAATCCTCAATCTTCTCAGCACTAAAAGTTTAGGCTGAACACAGTAAAAAATGTAATGCTTGAACAGTGATGGCCTGTATCAAATTTCACATAGCTTGCAACTTTCACAGAAGTTTTAGTGAGGGCACAGGGTCTGAGAAATTCAAGTTCAAAAGCAAAAGACAAATTCTACAGCACTGAAAAGTGGGGTCAGAAATATGCCCCCCGTTTGCCTTAACTTCAATCCATCTTTGATATATAGAAAATATTTCTTTTGCAGGGAGAGAATTTTTTTAATACATTTCTGTGGACATGAAGCTGGAATTGACAGATTTTTGTAAAAAAGCATTCAGTTATCAAGTACTTTATTAGCAGCAAAAGGCATTTCTAATCTAACAGCCAATCTACCCTAAAATCATTTATGTGGAGTTATTCTGAAAAATAAGGAACTAAGGCTTAAGCTGATTATTCCCAGATTTGTTAAATGCTGCTAAGAATTGTCCAATTTCCTTTGAAGATGTCCTCTCTCTACAAACCACCTTCACTCATAAAAATGCATCAACATATTAAAGCAAAGTCTGCTTGATATTGGTGCAGTAACTAAGACTTCCTAACATCACCAATAACATTGGTATATTAATCTACAAACAGACTCTCTAGGATAAACCTTTCACTCTCCCTTTCTGATTCATGTGATGGTATTAACATTTTGCCCAGGAGGGTCTGTGATGCAACAATATAATGTCACAAAGACATAACTCAAGAGGGTAGGAAAGAAATATCTTAGTGCCCTGAGATGATTTAAAACCCCCACACACTATTACAATTATTTTTCCACTCAACATTAAAGTTTCACACAAACTAGATTTAACATAGTCACCTCCATCTGGTGAGGTTTAACTAAATATTTTCAACAGCATCACATTAATATGAATGTCACTTCTCATGCAGCAAAATAGGCACTGCGCCTCCATTTTCATTTCACTAGTCCCTAAATCCAGGGCAATAGTGAAGACTGCTTCCCAACACCACTCTACAAGTAGTTAAATGACACCTGCAGCATAGAAACGGAAGCTTCTAGAGAAGCTTGGCAATCAGGGCTAATGGAAAAACTAACTCGATTCTCAGGGCTTCTCAAATCTTCTAAAGCACAGCACTCTTCCTCACCTACCTACTTTCTTAAATGTTTACCAGGGTTGTTAGTAGAAATCGACAGTTACGTAGTTGTATTAAGGTCAAACAAGTAACAATCCTTAATTGAATTTGGAAACAAAAGTCCTAAATTTGCAGTGCAAATGTAATTGCAGCCAGCAAACACCTCATTCTTTCTGATTCAATTAGATTTTATTTTGATTCAGGCTTCTGTTAATTACCCATTGTCATTTGAGCTGAAGCTGATGACATAAATGAATTATTCCATAATTTCTATATTTAAAAACTGATTTGGGCTCCATAAATACATTCCCCTCCCAATAACAAGACTATTTTCTATCTTTCATATATAATGCTTAAAAATTGCCATTAGAAAAAAACAACACAGTAGTATGTGAGAGCTGAGGATTTCTCTTCCATACATTTGAGCCAGACACTCAACAGAGGGTTAAAAGGAAACTGTTTCATAAGATCAAATGGTGAGAAGCAGCAGAGGGGAAAAAAAGGCAAGTTACATAAAAGTCCAATTGTACTTACAGTCTCCTTATTGGGAAGTAACTCCTTTCGGATCCTGAAGAAGTTCTTGCCGTACTGTCTCAGCCCTTTAATGAAGCGTTTCTGTGTAAAAGGATAACAAAAACAGTGTCAGCAAAGCAAAAACAAAAAAACCAGCCTTTAATCAGCAAAATAGCAACTGCTCTCATCTTAGGGACTGCTGATAAAATGAGAGAAAAGTGCACACAAGCAACCACCGAAACTATCAAAAAGGGGAAGGCTGTCAAAAGCGTTCTAAAAATTCATATTGACTTAGAATTGGATAACCACAAGCTTTCCATATCTGGAGCTTTAAAAAAAAATAATTCTCTGCCCTTAGTACAAAATGATCCCAGTTAGCAATCATTCAAGGGTTTGATAAGCACAGTCAGCTCCTCTCCATAAAGATAAATCCACAAAACTCAGCAAAATCTATTTACAACTAAGAAGAATCACGCAAGCAAAAAGATGGTTTTCTTAAGTGACCCTTCAACCGGGTGAGGAAAAGGTTAAAAGTGCTTGCACGCACATACACATGCAAGATTCAGGCTACTTTGGTAGAAATAAAGGCAAAAGGCTTCCAAATAAATCCCTTCAAGGGAGAAAAAGATTGCTGTTTGCTTTTTTCCCTCCTCCCTCCCCACTTTTTTAAAAAAAATAACAGTTTCAGTTCATGTTTGGTTTCAAATCCAAGACAGCAGGAGACTTTTCTTCTTTCACTTTGCAATAATCCATTTGGAGAGGAGAAAGCTCCCCCCTCTCCAGGACGTCTCCTTTGGGGGTGGGTTTTGTTTGCATTTTCTTTGGGTTCAGACACCCCCTAAAAACCACAGAGGAGAGGGGAGGCTGTTGAATCCAGATTGGGGTGGGGTGATCTCGAAGTGAGCAATAAAAGTCCTTTCCTGGCTCTGCAAGGCGCCCTATTGCAAGCCGGAGCCCCGGGGGTGACTTCTTGCTCGAGCTCGTCTCTCTCCTTTGGGGGTGGGTTTTGTTTGCATTTTCTTTGGGTTCAGACACCCCCTAAAAACCACAGAGGAGAGGGGAGGCTGTTGAATCCAGATTGGGGTGGGGTGATCTCGAAGTGAGCAATAAAAGTCCTTTCCTGGCTCTGCAAGGCGCCCTATTGCAAGCCGGAGCCCCGGGGGTGACTTCTTGCTCGAGCTCGTCTCTCGAAACACCCCCCCCCCCCCCCCCAACCCAACCACCCCAAAGCAGATCGTCTTCTGCACTCCCTCCCTCTGGCCAAGGCAATTCATGCAACGCAAGGCGGAAGGAGAGAGACCTGATTCTGTCTCCGGCAGCCACAGGTAAATAATATTCAGGTGCCATACAGAGACTCTCCGAAGGTGGGAGGCTGCAGCTATTCCAAGCGGAGAGCTCGCTTGTCACTCTGGGGCTCTGACACTACAAAGGGGGAGGGAGGCAGCGGCAGCAGCTTAACATGTGATCCGCTGGGCTGTGCGGCTCGGGGAAAGAGAGCCTCGGGTGCGTTGCAAAAGCCGGCCTGGATCGCCCTGGAACAATCCCAGCACGCTAGGCGAGCGGTGGGCAGGCAGCTAGCTACCCACCCACCACTGTCACCCTCGGGCCACAAGGCCAGCGGGCACTGGGAGCATCGGCACAGGCCGCTTGGATCACATGGGAGGGGTCAGCGCCCCATGCAGGGGGTAAAGTACCCCCCCCCCCCCAAAAGGAGACGGTGCAGTTCTGCTCCTGAAGAGCGCTGTGTAAACGCGAACGCTCGGCTCTGCCCCCAACCGGAGCTGGTCCAATACAAGGCATGACCTCGCCCACCTTGTCTCGCTAATATCTGGGACCCACAAGGCTACAGCAAACACGGCATATAATTTGTTCCTGTCATTAGTAAAGCAAGAGAGTCCGAGGGGAAAATCTGGGAGTGGATTAAGAGCCAAAGCCTTCAGCAAACACTGAAAGCATAACAGAGTGCGTTTGGGGAGGCATTTTGCTCTGCAAATGGGCTTGGTGGTCCAGGAATTACAATTCTTTGCAAAGGCAGTGATTTTTTTTAAGGGAAGAGGTGAACCAGGGAAATCTCTTACCAATCAGCATTATAGTCTCTGCCAGTGAAATAGGTTTCCCCTTGCTTTGATACATCTCTTTCTGTGGTTTATGATGTTAGTACAGTTTGACACACTTAGCAGCTTAGTATGGAGCTTGGGGACCTTTCTGTGGCTTCCCCTTCTCTAGATTACCCTCTCTCTCTCTTTGCCCTGGCTCTAAACACTGAGTAACTTCCCAACCAAGGAATAAACTCTACTTCTCCTGTGTTATTTCCCTATGGTTTGCATCATCATTTGTTAAATATATCATGACAAGCTATTTCCCTTGGTCTGCAGCTCTGGGACTTGTGGCTTCCATTCTTCCTCACCCCAAAATAATTTCTAAAATAAATCAGTGTAAAAGGATCACAGCTAAATAATTAGTGACTGAATTGCTAAAGGGGCCTGGCCAAAGCTTCCTGTTTTGTGCGGTAAGACTACAAGCACAATTATTTGGGCACAAAGTTCTGCCTGCAAAAACCTGTGGCTGACACTGAAAATCCAGATCTTAATATAAATACTATGGGAAAAATTAAATTAACCTGCAGAAATTTAACACAATTTCAGTGAACTCTCTCAAGACACTATGGGCCAAACCTTCATGTGGCCACCCACATCAAGAAGCTGGGCTGTGCGCTAGGGATGTTAAACACTAGTCGATTATCCAATAAGCATTTGTTGATGAGATAATATTTTGACTAGTTAACTAGCCCCACTCCCCTTGCTGCCTCTATGAAATACCCAGCTGATACTGGGCTCTGAGGACATTGCCCCAGAAATTTCTGGGGAAATACCATGTGGAGTCCGGGGTCAACTGGGGAGGCCCCAGCTGACCCTGGGCTCCACTGCTGCTCCTTTGAAACATGAGGAGGTGGTGTTTGAGGGGCAGCCAATGCTCAGCTGAGCCCGGAAAAGTACTGTGTGGAACCCAGGTCAACTGAGGAGTCCTCAGCTGACCCCGGGCCCTAGCAGCATAGCATGGAGCCCGGGGTCAGCGAGGGACTGAGTCCCCTCTGATGGGGACTCTTGTACATTTCAAAGCAGGTACCAGAGTGCAGCATGGAGTCAGCAGGATTTCCAGTGGGGGCTCCTGTACATTTCAAAGGAGGAATGCGGAAGTGCCTGTCGACTAGTCAATTAACTGCATTTTAACATCCTTACTATGTGCTGGCAGATGTGCAAAAATCCCCCCGTATACCATGGTGAGAGTGAGGAACTATCCCACAGAGACTAGTTTAGCCTACTGAAATATACCTCAGTGCCCCTTTTGGGCTCCCATCATAGGTAGAGGGTCCATATAGCCCTGAATATTCTGAGCCCTGCATCTCCACCCCTCTCTTCTGAGTGCTGCTGTGCAGGCGGCCCCTGAGGAATTACCCACACAAATCCCTTGCATCCTTAGCAGCAGAACTACATGAGTTCAATTGTGAGGGAACCCTGCTGTGGTTCGTAGGCAGGAATTATCCATCACTGATTTGCATGTTGAAGCTGGACTCCCATCTAAGAGCTGAATTACTCACACCCATTTTCTTCTTTTAAACAACTGAACCCAAGTCTACAAATGCTGTTGCAGGAGAACAGTAAAAGTGCAAGGAAGAGGAATAATAAAAGCTTGAGCAAGGAATGTTGACTAAGGAAGACACCTGCCTTTACTCATCAGCAGATTTTAGACAAACATCTCCACTATGTACTGAGGACTGGTGCAGTCACTGCAAGTTACTGGTGATCCTGCGAGCCAGGGATTCTCAATCCGTGTCTCTATCAGCACACAGCTACAGCGAATGTGCCATCCTCAGGGCCAGAGCAGCCCCATCCATAGGACAATTCAGGGTGGCTGCCTTAGGTGCCATGCTTTGGGGGGCTCTGGCATGATCACCTCAATAATCCTATGAACAGGTCCCAGAGCAGACTAGAGGATTACTTGGAGTGGGAGGGACCTGGTGCAGGGCTACTTCAATGGTTGGGGTCCTCTGCACTTACGGCAGCAGCAAGTATTGGAGTGACCCAACAGTATGCTCCGCCCCACTGCCCTCTCCCAGCCCACTGTGCTCAGCTTCATCAACGCAATAGGAAACAGTACCCCAAAGTACCAAGCTGGGAGATAGGGCAGGGCGAGGCAGAGCACAGCAGCCTGCTGGGCTGCTCCAGTTCCCACCACCACAGTGAGTGCAAGAGAAGGGGATGACCCCTTTTGCCACCCTGCACCAGGCTCCCCTGTAAGCCCCTGGCTCGCGTTGCTCAGGCAAGAGGGCTTTGGCAAGGGGGAGGAGCAGGGATAGAGGTGGGGCTTCAGGAAAGTAGTGAAGTGGGAGCAGGATGGGGGCGGAGCAGAGTCAGGGCAGGACCTACAGCAGGGGGTGGGCCCTGGATCCCATACCTACAGTACTGCAAGGAGTTGCCCCAGGCTCTGAACACCCCAGTAATAGCCCTGCTCAGGGCCATACAGATAGTATAGGAAGCGGCCCATATAACACACTGTGGACCATTTATGCAGACTACATTAGTAAACAGATTGAGAACCATGGTTCTGAGCACTACTTATGCTGGTGTTTCTCACTGCTTCAGTGTCGGTTAATCGGCCATTTCACACTAAGGATGTTACAAGGCGTTTACTTAAGTAAACAAGTAACTGCTGAAAATTTCAGCAGTTACACGCCAGCGGCAGTGGAGCACACTGGGAGCCAGCTTTTAAGCTCCCTCCCCCCCTGCCAACAGTGCTGTCTCTGATACAAAAGCAGCAGTTCAGGGAAGAGGGGGAGGTGGCTCCTGCCCACCCCCTCCACCACGCTGCTGCCTCTCACGGGGGGGAGGTCAGATGGTCTGGCGCACATGGGGAACAGGGATCTGCATGTAACCGTGAAGGTTAACCATAAACCCAACCTCACTGGTTAACCATGTACAGTTACACTTTCACATCCATACTTCACCTTTTCAGAGAAGCCATTATCCCCCACACCATGAATAACTCCTCATGTTATATGCTTCTACTGCAGAGAAAGATGGCAGCCATAAGGGCAGAACTAT